AATTTTCCCCCCCCCCCCCCATCTACTTTTAATCCAATCCAAAGTATTCAACCTCAAGTTTTTTCTTTTTTTCTTTTTATTTCACAAAAAAAAAAAAAAAACAAAAAAAAAAAACCCCCAAAGAGATATACACCAAAATTAATATTCAATAAAAAAGAGATATTGATCAATTTCATGGAGAAGAATAATGGGAAAAAAAAATACACTCATAAAAAAAAAAATTAATCCCATGGAAAGACCCTTTCATCAAGTTTAGGGCTTTTAAAAAAAATAAAAATAACAAAAATCAAACTTGCATCGAATCCTACAAAAGCATATAGAGGGCGGCAGAAGCAGCAGCAGCAGCCTGCCGGCCGGCACCCGTAGACGGCGGCTATGAATAATATCTCTCTATCATCCCAATTTCTACTGCTTTTCCTTATTCCAAAATAAAATAATGCTCTCTCTCACTACAACAAAAGTATAAAATCCCATCTCTATACACACAACAAAAATATATATATTCATATATATAATATATATATATATATATATATATATATATATATATAACTGCACACACAAATTATATATCATATGCTTTAATGGAAAAATATAATATTACGTCTACTACCGATCGTGACCAAGTCGAAGCTCAAGATCAAGTTCATCATCATTATTATCATCGTCGTCGTCGTCGTCGTCGTCTTCAACGTTACCATCTGATCTCTTGTCTCGATGATTGATCAAAGCAGGGGCAGGCGTGCGTGAGGGGAGGCTGATATTCGTCCAATTCTCCTTGAACGCGTTCAAAGCTTGAGGACTGCTATTATTGTTGTTGTTGATGTTGAGGTTGTTGTGAACATACGCCAATTGATGATCGGGGGAGGGAGTAGTAGTAGTAGTGGTAGTGGAACCCAAACACCAAGTGGAAGAAGTGGGGAAATAGGTTTGAAAAGAGTGGTGATGGGATGTTGAGATTAGTGGCGTGGTTGGGCGGAGAGTTGAATGGTGGGCGAAGGGTTCGGGCTTGGAGGGACTATTATTGGTAGTATTAGGCTTGGTTTTCACACGGTCTTTGCGGTGGATGTTCATGTGACCGCCGAGGGCTTGAGCCGTTGTGAACCCTCGTTTGCAAAATACGCACTCGTACGAGCGGCCACTGCCCATTTCGTTGGCTTGTTCGACCTCCTCGGTGGTTGTTTTCGAGTTCGGATCTTGGTCGTCGTCGTTGGGGATATGGTTAGGGTCCATGGGAGAAGAGTTTGGTTCGTAACATATATAGAGATATTTGATGGAGGGAAGGTGTTGGAAAGGAGGAAATGAGAGAGAAATATAATAGTTAGGGGTAGGTTTTTGTGTATGAAGATGAGATTTGGAGATGAAATGTGAAAATAAATTATTTGGTTGTGGAGAGACAACCATTAGTTAGCCGGCTCTTGATGTATTCATCTTTTGGAGACAATATTATGTTTCTTTAATCAAACATTTCTTTTTCCTTTTTAAGCGTTCGATTTTATGTCACAATTTGTTAGCATAATCCTACGATAATATAACCCCGAGCTTAGAACATGGATCGATTTAGGAGAATTTGGTTCGTAAATTAAATGTTAGAAGTGTTTCGAAATGAAATAAAATATTGGATCAAACCGACATAGGGTTATTGAAGTTATCGAGGTATTAAAATGATTAATTGTACTATTGTTTGACTATGGACAGCTTCCTATAATAATATTAGTTAATACGAGTAAAATTATTTTAATTAATGGATGAAGTTGTTGGGGGTGTTGGGTGATGTTAAATATAAGTGATAGCTCATAATGTATTAAGTGATAGCTCATAATGTATTAAGTGATAGCTCATAATGTATTGGGACAAAAATGACCTAATTTTTTAGCTGCTTCTTAGGGTTTTGTTTTGGACATTAGATTATATGAGATGTTAAAGATACGTATGAGATACATTGTGGAGTAAGGTGGTGAGCAAGAATGAATATAATATTGCAATTGTAATTGGACATTATACGGTTTCACCAAATATTGAAATCATAAGGTATAGAGTATAATGAAAAATCCCACTTGCTTTCATTCTCAGCAAAGGGAAGATTTCCCCTCTAAAACTTCTTTCTCCCATATCTATCAAACAGATCATGATTATTAGACCAACCATAATCATTTTTAATTTGAATTACGATTTCGTATTCCAATTCAATATCCAATAATCTCTAACATTTCTCTGCATCCCTTGCAACATGACCACGTTAATTATACAGTTAAATGGAATATTTGTATAGATTTATGTATAATTAAGAAAGTAACATTTTTGTCCCCTCACAATCAATCCAACTTCATCATACAATTCATTACAATTCATTACAATTCAACAGTCTTCTTGCAAAGGGTATTGACTATTGACAATCTCTCTCTCTGTCCCTGTCTCTGTTGAGTTCATGTGCATCATTGCATGCATATGTAATTATGTTGCTTTTTCCATTGTTGCATTCATATTGCAGGCCAAGATCATATCTATATAATTAATTAAGCAATTAGTTTTTTTTTTTTTAATTATGTATTTGTCATTTTGGCATTAAGCTTTTAGAGTATAATACAAAAGTTAATTAATTGTATTATAAAGGCAAGTTGTTTGACAAAATGACCTGAATGCTTGCCTCCAATTTAGGCATGTCCTAATCAATCCTTCATTTTATAGTCTTAATGCCTAAAACTGTTTGTGTTGGGTGTCGGTCACTGCTACCATGGGCGATGCGCAGTCGTCAAAAGTGTCTGTGCGCAGCCACCTACACAACGATCATGCAACGTTTGTTTCGGAGACGGAGGGACGACGTCTGTGGCAGAAGGGCGCAACGGTCGGAGGCGCATAGTGGGTGGCAATGAGAAAAACTAAGGTGTCTAAAGCTCCTACCTTTTGTAGTTAAATATTTTATCATTATTAATAAAATAATCTCTTATTTTATATTATGTATAGCATAGGGTATGAAATCAAAGGTTCTATCGTGTTACGTTAATAATCTAAAGAGTTTATAATATGTGGATAAAGTCACAACCGTAATAATATTATTCATACGACCCATTTTGTAATTATGATTTGATCCAAATCATTCGTGTAGAGATGCGTGAGTGGAGCGTCTTATACAACAAGCTTGTTAGACTGAACCACAAATATTTAATCTTCTTTTATAAATTTATTAATTGAGAATATTAATATTTTATAAGATGATGATGTGTCATCCAATGTTAATCTTGAGTTAATTATAAACTTTTACGGGTAAGACTTACATTTTCAACTTTTGTAGCAAATTTATGATATCTATCCTTCTAAGAACTTGACCAAATAGGAAGCTAGAAACTTAATTAATTAAATTAATCTTATGAGATAAAATTTGCAGCATGGGACATAAATAAACTATTTTTGGTTGGATCATAAATAAACTATTTTAATAGTATTTAAGGTATAGGGTAATGTAGACAACTCACGGTTCATCACCTTGCCAATAATGAATTTATCAACCTAACTAATTTCATCTTATTAATGCTTATTATCGGTAAAGGTCTAAAGATAAATTTAATTAAATTTTTTTTTGAAATATTTAAATGAATAATTAATATATTTTATATATTAAAAATAAATAAATAAATGATATATTTAATTTGGAGAATTCAAATTAATAGAAATATATTTAATAGACTAAATATTAAAATAATTAATATATTTAAATAGGTAAAAAATGCGAATAAAGTTGAGCAAGTGAGTGAGGAGTCGGAGTGAGGTGAGGGACTAATAGTGTCCGGCGGCTGAGGGTTTAAAAAAGGCAACTAAAAAGACAACCTAGTTGCCTCTTTTTTCCTTTTTTTTTTCTTTTTTTTTTTAGAAAATAAGAAAAAAAGTGAATTAAAGTCCAAAAGAAGTTGAAAAAAAAATAAAAAAATTAGGAGATAAAATAAGAGAGTTGGAAGAAAGTGCAAAATGTTTTGGATTTTAGATTAAAAATAAAAGAGAGGGTAAGTTGTGAATAAGAGTATATATAAAGGCAACAAAGTTTCCATAAAAAAGAAATTAGGTAAAGAAAAAAGGGCACACAAAACACGTCTTAACAAAACAAGGGGAGTTCATAGATAGAAACTTAAAGATGTAGCTCCAAATCCAGATCCTCACTTGAACAACCTACCAAATTCCCCATCTTCCCCTCCAAATTAACTGAACCTTTCTTCCTCTTCTTCTTCACCCCATCAACATCAGCATCTCCATCTCCTTCATTGCTCCTTGAACAGCTCCCACTTCCCTCAATGCAAGTCAAGGAGCTGTTCTCAATACTTGGTCTGGAACTGAAGCAAGATGGCGGTGGAGGCGGCAAACAGAAACTAGGGGTAGGGTATGAATTGTTATGCATCCAAGAAGACCAATATCTCAATCTTCCCCTATCCCTTCTGTGAACATTCATATGCCCTCCCAGAGCTTGAGCAGATTTGAATTCCCTCCTGCAAAAATTACAAGTGTATTTTCTTGCAGGCCAATGGAGAAATTGATCGCTTGAAAATGTTTCTTGTTTGCCAAAGCCCCATTGTTGTTCTTCATTCTTCACAACCTTCCCATTACTCATGCTCCTGTGCTTACCTCCCTCCATGCCCCAACTTCAAACCTGATGCACAAAGCACACGAATAAGTATGAAATTTGTGATGAAAATGAAAACTGTTCTCCAGAGGGAGAGAGAGAGGGGGGGAAGGGCTTATGAATGAAAGAGGGGTGAATGAGGTATTAGTTGTAGTAAGAAGGAGATGTGTGGAGGCATATTTGGATACTACTTAGCAGCCAACACAATTAGGACACTTGAGCATGGCAGTGAAGTTGCTTTTTGCCAATTCAAGAGGGAAGGACTGCCACATAACTTATTGTTCCTTATTTAACTCCTTACTAACACTCCTTCCAATAATATACAAAATAATTTAAAAATAAAACTACATTGGAGACGTTTTCACACTCTTATAACAAATATTTTGTTCTCCTCTCTAATTAACGTGGGGTGTTACAAATTGATTTATTTAGTTAATTTGGTAGGTTAAGATTGGTTAGATGATAATAATTTATCTAATTCAAATCTGTAATATAAAGTGAGGAAAGAACTTTTTTTTGAAATGGGTAGAAAAACATATTGCCATATTTGATAATATATCTTTATGATGATATTTGTTTTTAAGTTGGATAAAGTTAGTATAATCCACAACAGGGCTACATTTTTTTTTATTAAACAATTAAGAGTAAATCAAAATTAAAAATTTGCTGGAAAAGTTTAGTTCCATAGATGCCTGTTTTCGAAAGCTAAACAAATTTCGGTTTTGTTTTGTTTTTAAATACCCTATTTTAAGATTCTTTTTTTGTTTCAAAATATGTCTCACAAACATATTTTCTTCGTTTTCTTTGTGTTCTTTTTTATTTTCGAGAATATAAAAATGAAAATAATTTTCAACCAAATGAGGCTTAAAGTTTAGTTTGATAGCCACATACTTAAACTAATCTTAAAACAAAAATAAGAAATAAAAATACTTCTTTTTAATTATAAAAAAATTGACATATATTTTGAAGAAAACTTCAACTTGAGGAAACCAATGAGATTCGGACACGTGGCCTCCCATTGCACTAGGGACGGTGATGAGCTGAAATAAAAATCCACCCTTTCGAGCAATTAAGAAAATGATCCATGCCACTGATAATGATTGATCTTTGATTCTTACAAACGTGTCAACAATCTGTGTCAAAAACCCATGACTGCTTTCTTTGCGTGCTATTCATTCAGTGCGGGGGATTGGGAGGAAGGGAAGGGAAGGGAAGGGGAGGGAAGGGGAGGGAGGAACAGAGTTAATTAGGCGGAGCGATAATGAAATCTCTTCCTCAATTTTGCTCACTGTCTTCCTCCATTGATGATATCTCCACTCTAATTCCAGGTCTTCCCAATGATGTCGCGGCTTTAGTTCTTTCCTTTCTCCCTTACTCCCACCATGCTCGCCTCAAATCAACCTGCAAATCATGGCGTCTCTTCTTCTCTTCTAATATCCTAATTTCCCTTCGATTCACTCACCCAAATTCTCTCTCTCACCTTCTCTGCTTTTTCCCTCAAGACCCTTTAATCGCTTCCCCTATTCTGTTCGACCCACTAAACCTTTCTTGGTGCCCTCTTCCCCCTATGCCCTGCAACCCCCATGTGTATGGTCTCTGCAATTTCACCCCAATTTCCCTCGGCCCTCACTTGTACGTCATCGGTGGCTCTCTCTTCGACACTCGTTCTTATCCAATCGACCGTCCTTCCTCCTCCTCCTCCGCTTTCCGCTTCGATTTCTATGCCTCCTTATGGGAACCCATCTCCCCGATGCTGTCGCCGCGAGGGAGCTTTGCGTGTGCGGCGGTTCCTGGTTCCGGTCAGATTCTGGTGGCTGGAGGTGGGTCCAGACACACGATGTTCGCGGCGGCAGGGAGTCGGATGAGCTCCGTGGAAAGGTATGGTTAAATCACTACCGAACTCAATAGTTTACGTGGGGTTGGGTTACTGTAAGAATTTAATGTTGTACCAATGATTTAACAGGTACGATGTTGAGAGAGACGAGTGGGTTGCCCTTGATGGGTTGCCGAGGTTTCGCGCTGGGTGTGTTGGGTTCTTTGTGGGAAATGGAGAAAAGAGAGAGTTTTGGGTGATGGGTGGGTATGGCGAATCGAGGACCATTTCAGGAGTGTTTCCTGTGGATGAGTATTACAGAGATGCAGTGGTGTTGGAATTGAGGAATGGCAATGGCAATGGCGGTGGGAGGTGGAGGCAAATTGGGGATATGTGGGAAGAAGGGGAAAGAAGGAGGCTAGGGAAAATTGTGGTGATTGAGGATCACCGTAACCATGGACAACCTGGGATTTTCATGCTTGATGGAGATGAATTCTTCAGGTTACTCTTCTTCTTTTAGTTGCCTTTGTGTTACTCAAGTGTTTGCTTTGGTTTTATGACTGATTACTTTTTATTTCCTTAACTATGGAAATGCCTTTTATCACTTTGTTCTTAAACAAGTGTCTATTGCACATGTTCATTCTGTACTGTGGAAACCTATGGCTGTATTTGAATGGAGAAAAACTAATGGCAAACTACAAGTACATGATCCCATAAAAATGGATTCAGAGCATTAAACTATTTTCTTAGAATGCCTTAGTTTGCATGAGACAAGCTTTGGATTTGAAAACAAAAGTTTCTTGAACTTTGAGTGCAAGGTGGATGTCAGTTTAAGCCCACCGCTAGCGGATATTGTCCTCTTTTGGGCTTCTCCTCAATGTTTTTACAACTGTTCTGTTAGGGAGACGTTTCCACACCCTTATATAAAATGTTTCGTTCCTCTCTCTAATCGATGTGGGTTCTCACAATCCACTCCCCTTTAGGGCCCAGTGTCTTCACTGGCACACCACCCGATGTCCACCCCTCTTCGGGGGCTCAATGTCCTTGCTAGCACACCACCCGGTGTCCACCCCCTTCGGGGCTCAGCGTCCTCGCTGACATTTGTTCCTCTCCAACCAATGTAGGATCTCACAATCCACTCCCCTTCGAGGTCCAGCGTCCTCGCTGGTAGTCGTTTCTCTCTTCAACCAATATATGATCTCACAATCCACCTCCCTTCAGGGCCCAGCATCCTCGCTGACACTCGTTCCTCTCTTCAATCGATGTAGGATCTCATAATTCACTCCCCTTCAGGGCTAGCATCCTTGCTGGCACCTCGAATCTCACATTAAGGGTGTTGATGACCGGTTGAAAGAATTTATTGGGAGTGAGCTCATTAACTATTTGGAATGATCAGGTCTGTATTCAACACTCATTCTGCCTGGCAAAAAGAAGAAGAACGCCAAATGGAGGAAGAATTAAAAAAAGTTATATAGAGTTATTTAATTTGATCTCTGAGGTTAGCTTAAGATTTCCTCCCTTTTGTTGTTCTTGACTTGCATATCGAGTTTCAGTCCAAATGTTGTTATGGGGTGCTTGATTGGGAAAGAAAAAAAGAAGAGATCTCCAAATTTATACCATCTCTGTGCGGAGGAGAAAAGATATTACTTAATACTCATCTCTCTTCATCATATGGAATTCGCTATATTTGAACAGTTCTGAAACTGAATTTAAAACTGGAGTTAAATTCTTATGATTTGTCATCTTCTGATCTCCATCTGCTATGTTTTAGATATGAAATGACATCAAACAGATGGGTTGAAGAGTCGAGGGTACCTAGAAAGACTCCTTTCAACTCCTCATATGGCTTTGTTGCATTGAATGGAGAATTGTATGTTATATCATTTCTGAAGACAGAGTCGGCCGAAGCTCGAAGGCTACGACATCATAAGAAAGGAGGATCGCTGTACATGCAAATCTACGATCCCGTGAAGAAGACGTGGAGATCTCTCATTACCAGGTCGCCTTTTCAGCACCCCATGGATTTCGATACTGCAGCTATGTGTACCATTCGTATCTGAAATGTAAATAATACCTCCGCTGCTATCAACTACTCATTATTGCTTACAGATTTAGGCATATGCTGATGCTGATTGTTGTTCCCTGATACCTAAGTGGCACATACGTTTGCATTCCTTTATGTACATGTTTAGAATGATCTACAGCCAAACTTTTTTTTTTTTTTTCTCTTCCTGGAAATAAATTTATCAACTCGAACATAAATATTGTACATTTGTGTATAAGCTGTTCAAGGATGGAGATAAAATACATAAAAATTTTATGTACATTCGAGCATGGTTGGTGTTTTGTCTGCAACAACGTGGGATTGTCAAATACTTCGATTCTGTGTTTCACATCTTCTTCTCAACACTTTGTATCTCAGTGTTTGTCCAAGTAAACAGCCTACAAACCGAACAGTCTTCCTTAATTATTTGAGTATGGAAGCAAACCTTAGAGCTGTTGGAACAATGTGTTTTGAATGCAGAGACAGTTGTTTAGGTTCTGCATTTTCTCATTGGAGCTTCTTCCAGGAAAACAACAGAGCCCATGTTCCCCTTTTCTTGTTTAATAAAGTCAACCTCGTTTTCCTCGAGTTCCACGCAGTTAAAAACACTCGTTTCTGTTTACCGAGTTGATTCAAGAATTTGGGAAGAACTTAACGTTCATGCCGCTCAATTCACAAGGAACATTCCCTTGCACCGGCGGCCGTTGCAGTGACTGAGAACTTAAATTCCGCCATCCCTCTCCTTTCAATGGTCTCTAGGCTTCAATTTGAGCACAAACCATTAGGATTATGAACATAAAAGAGGAATCTTTGTTGAAAAAAATCTCATCTTTATGGTTTCAAGATTAACCCAAATTCTGTGTCTAAGATATGGTTTTGAGACAGGAAATGTCGCGCACATAACATTTCTGGGTGTGTTTTTACCATGAAACAGAAACATGAGCTTTGACGAAGCCTTGTTTGAAAATTGAAAAGGCTGTAGGTTATGTCGGAATAAAGGGATGAAATGGTTAGAACAAAAAAGGGTTTAAGATGTTTTGAAAACTTGAAATTTTCATCAATAAAAGTCTCGCTTTTGAATAAATTTGTTATTATAAAGGTTAAAAAATTGATTGATTCTACAAAAGCGAGTAGTATCAAGTATATGGTGGAGGGTTTGTGAAGGTGTTGGGGTTGAGCTGAATTGGTCTCCATCAAGCAGCCAACAAAAACGAACTATTTATTTATTTATTTATTTAGTCAACGTCAAAATTCACGAAAAAGAAAATATTTAGATTTTCAAGTGTGTTTGATATTTTTCCTAACATTCTCAATTCCTTATGCCTCAAGCTGTGGTTTGAAAAAATAAAATTGCTATATTTTACCCTTTCAACGCTTTGTGAAGGTGTTATTAGATATGCATGGAAGGATTCTTAATTTTATTTTTTTAACAACAATAAATTGGAATAATTACGTAATAATAAATAATATCCGCTATTTCAATATTTATATCTACATTTTTTTTATTAAATATATATGAAATATTGTCGTTTTCATTTGACTTAATATTTGAACATGAAGCATGTAGTTGTTGTATTGTCTAACAAAGACCACACCTCGTACTATACTTGCAACATTTTATAAGCTATCCACACGTTTTTTTTTTTAGTTCAACAAACAAAAAGTGTACGTTCAAACTTTTAATCTTTACAAAAATAAGTTAAATATTGGAAGAATGAACTATACATAGATTCACCAACCTATTACACGACTCAACTAGCTTTCCATATCATGGCTATCTAATTCACTATGTTATGACTCCTTCACCAAGCTTTAGAATTTTTTTTAGTATTAACCATCAATCTTGCACCTTGTTCTATATTTTGGAGTTACGTAATACTATTTGGAGTTGGGCAATATATAATGAGTTAAAAAAGATGAAGTATCTCTAAAAGTCGAGAATGAATAAAATATTAAGACACTATTTTTATGAGAAAGGTTAGAAGCTGTTGTTGAAGAAATTAAGAGGGTAGATTTAACCTTAACGAATGAACTAATCATTTATTTAATAACACAGTCCATCAAAGGACTTGTATAAGAAAAAAAAAAAACAGTATTAATGAACATAAATTTGCATGGGTTGCAACCAATTGTTTTCTGATGCCCCCAATCCAAATAAAAGAATTTCGTCCTGAAACTGAACCGAACCCAATCTCCATGGTTCCACCATTAAAAGACACTATCAAGAACTTTGAGCAGCTGAGGCAATGGGAGCCGGGTCGTGAATAGCAGGCGGCGCCTGGACGAAGCGGCCAGGGCCACCTGCGACATTCATCGTCTGGAGGGTGCATCGGCCATTGCTTTGCCCAGGAATGGTGCTGCACGGGTTGCGACCGGACGGTGGCACCGGGGCACGCTGCAAGACTTGAATAGGCAACACAAAGGCTATATCTTGCTTCGCCTTCATCCATTTGTGTCCGCTCATAACCCTTGCTGCCTCCATAGGATTAGGTAACAGAATGGTGAGCATCAGCACAAAGAACACCAAGCTAACTCTTTTAGACATACCCATATCTTAATTTCGACACAAAAGCTATGAACCAAACTAAATCTTCTTCTGTTTCTGTGATGAAGGTTGGAGTTTAAACCAACAAGTTTGTAAGCAAAATGAGAATGAGAGGAAGGAGTTGATGTATGTGTTTATATATATACATGTGAGGGCGTTTGGTTTTTGTCTGTGGGTGTAGTTTGACCAAAGACTTTTGGTTCTGAATTTGACGGAGTAATATTGTTTGAAAGGTTGAAAACAACGTTAGAATGAATCAAACGACACGTAGCTTGGACCAAACTGTCCGCGCATATCCTAAGATTATTCAAATGGTAAATAATTACTACTTTTTTGAGTTCAAACACAAAAGAACTCCTAAAATAATCCAACTCCCCTACCTAGTACTCCTACTTTATAATTGGTCACAAAGTGACTTTCTTTTATCATCAACATTTGAACAAGCTAGCTTCCTTAATTATGCTTCAGTTTCATTTTAATCCCATCCCCATTACAATTTGGACTTTCAATTTCATCTCACTTAAATCATGAATTTCAATTTCAAACCCGTTACAATCAACCATTGGACATCTCAGACATATCGGACATCTCGAACATTTCGGACATCTCGGACATCTTAGAAATGTCGGACATCTCAGACATCTCGAACATCTTAGAAATGTCAGACATCTTAGACATCTCAGACATCTCGGACATCTCGGACACCTCCGACACCTCAGCTTCGAGTTTTTAACATGAAGCTTGAACTCGAGTGTGAATAGTAAGGCATGGAAATCTTGATCATCGACTGAATGGGTTCTGAAAATCATTTTCCAGAGCAGAAATCAAAGCACACAAATTGATCTGAAGATTTAAACACAGTTTCATTGATAATCGGTTCATTAACTTATAACAATCCAATATAGAGGATGCCACATTTAGACATTAAACATACAAGGGAGAGTGTAACTTGGTTTTTGCAGACTTCACTAATAAGAAATTTCCACATTGTAATGCAACAAAGTAGAGAAACTACATGAAAATCAACATGTTGAGGCTTGGGTTGATGTATATATAAAAAGAGGTACTTTACAAATGATATCATTTTGATAGGGCAGCCAGCAGCTTCTCCTTCAACTGTTCTGCAGCGCCACCTTCAGTTCTAATGGAGAATGAATGAATGACTTTCTCGTTGTCGGATGTGGTCGTAACTTTGGATTCTTGAGCTTCAATTTGGTGTTCTCTAAATGTTTTGATAACTCTAGAAACAGGGTGCGAGTCCAGAGGGCAACTCACCCTCACAACAGCATCCTCTTCCCTTGCCTGAAAATCAACCTCTGCACTTTTCTGCCTGCCATTAGCGATCTGTTTTTCAGCCTCCATAACTTTAATTTTCATCTGAAGGTCGGTGATGTACGTAATGGCATCGCCGAGCAGAGATGCCTTGTCCATCTTAGAGATATTTGGGACAACAGCCCTTAATGCATAGAATCGTTGGTTAAGCTTCTCACGTCTCTGCCGCTCTGCTTCCACATGATTCAATGGTTCTTCTCTCCCATTAGCAGGCTTTCTCCCTCTCTTCCTAGGTTTTCTGTCATCCCCTTTAGGAGATGACTCGTCCCTCGGAAACTCCAAACTCGAAAGTCTCGTCTGAGCATGTGGAAACATCTTTGCATCATTATCATCACTTCGACCCCCGTTGGAAGAATTTCCAAATACATGATTAGCACCTAAACCTTGCAGCTCAAAACCTTCGGGAGAAACATTTGTATCATCTTCCAACTTCGGTGAAAAGTTAATACTCAGCGATCGAGGTTGAGTTCCACCTAAGCTTAACTCATGACCAAAGATCCTTGGGAAGGTCTTTAATTGGGCAGTGTTTGATCCCCCAAAGGCCGCTCTAACCAACTCTACAACACCCTGATCTTCAGGAATTGATTTAACGGAACCAAGTTCAACAACTCCCAACTTTACAGGTACAAAGACCAATGTCTGGACACCAGCCATTTTCCCTAAAAACCCTCTGGATTCATAATTACGCAAACAACTCGTTACATCCGAAGCCCATATAGAGTTGCCGGATTTATATGACTCCCCCAGACTGCTTCCCGAGTCACACATGAACTTATAGTGCATTGAAGTTAGGTAAAGCATCTCGACATCTGACGCCTCGTCCCTCCTTGCCCCATATCCATCCTTATCAGACCCTCCGAAGGAGGACTGAAGCATTTGAAGCACTTGCCTCTTCAATTCCTCTTTCTTCTCTCCCTGACCATCCCCACCAGGAATTGCAATTCCAATCTTTTCATCATTACAGTTCCCATCTCCCCAGATTAAAGCCAAGGCCCCAGATTTCAAGCTAACCACCCGCCAAAAGATTGCATAGTTCCAACTTGAAGCATCCAAAAGTTTGGTTAGCCCCTGATTCACACTGAAATCACCAAGAGACAACTGCAAGTCCTCAGCTAAGATATTACTAGACGCCAACGACATCAAGAACTCACAAGCTTCACTACCAACAACTGATTCCACCAAAACCCTCTTTTCTTCGTTCGCCCAAAATTTCTCACCCATATTTCAGAAATGGAGTCAGCAGAAGGAAGAAACCCAACCTCCTCTACTTCTAAAATCACCTTCGCATAGCAAGCAGAGGTCGGAAAAACTCTAGTGACCAGAAAAAAAGAAAAGAAAGGAAAGGAAACGAAAATCAATTAAAAAGGGTGTAACGAAACTATTCAACACAAACAATTAGAACCCTTCAGTGGCTCGTCGAACTACAATTCTCCAAATCAACAGATCTTCGCTTAAACACCAACAAAACAATCAACAGCTCACCCAATTACCCAATTTAACAAATCCAAGTATTCAGAGCTAGAAGGTGAAGTGGAGAAGGGGGCAAAATCGATCCAAAGTCCAAAAAGCTCGAAGAAACGAGTTCAAAAGCTGACCTGAAAGTGAAGAGGGATCTGAAATGGAGAAGGGGGGTCGTCTCGATTTCGCGGAAACATCAGAAGAAAACTAAGGGATTGATTTATTACTTTCTTTTAATATCTTCCACTGAAAAGAGTTAGCTTGGCACTTTGATGTGAATGATATCAAAAAAAAGGTTGAACTTTAGGGTTTAGCTCGCATGAATCGTGAGCATTTCGGCGGGTATTGGGCCGAGTCTTAACGCTTCATATTATCCACAAAATTGCCAATAACGGTGCGTTTTCGAATAAATTAACCGACGTTCTTGGCATTATCTTATGTATTCGCTAATGTGTTTCATTTTTGTATGTTTGTCACTAATCATTTAAAATCATTTTAATGAACATATTTACATATCGCCAAAACTGATTTTACATTTTTTTTCCCTTTCTTTTTGCAATATTTACACGTCACGGTAGGTTCATCACAACTCAGGCCCAATGTATTGTGGGCCTTCGTTTTAATCTAAACTGAATTGGGCTTCAAAAATTGGCCCAATGTGAGTGGTTGCAGCGAGAAAACAAGCATTTATTCAAAAAGAAAAAAAGAAGTGAGAAGTCAATATTCCAACGGTAGCAGCCAACGACTCGCCTTGTCTACGTTGACTTGACCCAACAACCTTAAGAAAACTTGCAATTGTAATAATTATAAGACTAAAAACAGGACGACGGAATTTTGAAGTACAAAGAAATCGGCAATATAATATAATTGTCAAGTCAAGTCTTCAAAACTAATTTTGTTTTCATTTATGGGTTTATTTATTTTGATATCTATATATAAATATCGAAAAAGATCTAGCTTTATAAAAAAAAATGTAATTAATTTTTATAAACAGATTGATGTATGAGTAAATTCATATAAAAAAATAGTGGTGTTTTTGTGAAGGTAAATGATAATTAAAATTCAAAATTGTGTTGTATTTTAATAATAAAAGCAAATGAAGCAACCAAAAGTATGATATAATTTGATAGATTTAACATATTGATTTGTAAAATTAATTTGATAGATTTAACATATTGATTTGTAAAATTAATTTGATAGATTTAACATATTGATTTGTAAAATTAATTTGATAGATTTAACATATTGATTTGTAAAATTAATCCGATAGATTTAACATATTGATTTGTAAAATTAATCCGATAGATTTAACCTATTGATTTGTAAAATTAATCCGATAGATTTAACATATTGATTTGTAAAATTAATCTGATAGATTTAACCTATTGATTTGTAAAATTATAGGTTAATAATTGATAATCTGAGATAAGTGAAGTGTCCGAGTTTGTTGTACTTCAAAACATAATATAGATGAGAGACATAATGAGCTTAAAATAGTTGTCAACCCTGAGCCCTTCGTTCCTCGATCCTCACCGGGAACCCGCCCTCCATCTTTGCCGTCATGTACTGTACAAATTTGGGCTCCACCCCCTCCGCTGCTGCCGGAACCACTCGGAATCTTTTCAAAATGCCGGCCACCATCCTCTTCATCTGCAGAAACGCCATTTCCTTCCCTAAACAAATCCTCGGTCCCGCCTGAAACACGGGATACGTGTAGTTATCCCTCCCCACAAACCTCCACTTTGCCGCCGCATCGTCGCCGCTCTCCAGCCACCTCTCTGGCCTAAACTCCGCCCAATCCTTCCCCCAAATCCCCTCCATCCTCCCCATCGCATACGGATGATACGCCACCCTCTCCCCCTTCCTCACCACCGTCCCGTCCGGTAGTACGTCGTCCGCCACTGCCTGCTTCCCGTCCACCGGCACTGGAGGATACAGCCTCATACTCTCACACAGAGCCGCATGAGTGTACGTCAAATTCTTCACTTCATCATAACCAAAATCCTCCGATTTGTTGCAAATTTCGTCCAAAATTCGATCTTCCACTTGTGGGTATTTTGGCAACAGCCAGAAAAACCAGGTTAGCGCCGCGGAGGTCGTGTCCTGTCCGGCCAAGATGAAGCTTATGATTATGTCGGTGACGAAATCCTCGTCGGAGTGGCCGGAGCTGAGGAACCGGGAGAGCAAGTCGACTGAGGCGATTGAAGAGTTGGTTTGGAGCTCGTTTTTCTTTTCTTCAATGATGTTCTTTGCATATCCTCGAACTTCGGCTACGGCGATTCGAAGCCTTTTCTCGGACCCAATGTCCAGAAATTTTTTGAGCTTCCAGAAAATTGGAACCAAAGACTGGAACCTCAAGCTGCTGATTCTAACTGCGTCTTCAAATGCCTTTGCGAACTTTGATTGACCGAATGATGGTGATAAGTAAGATGGATCATACCTGTCCATCAAAGTTATTTTGATTTGCTTTAAATTCCAAATTTAGTCTCTTTCTTATCCTACCAAACAAACTACCATTATACATTTTACGGGCGAATTATAACCACTAACAAGTTCAAATTATAACCAACTAAAAATTAATATGTCAAATCATAGAAAACAAAATTTGTAAGTGAATCTTTCGTCTTTTTGTAATTAGCGTACGTACCCAAAAGCAATCTTGCAAACGTTGTCAAAAGCGAACCGCTGAAGAACATCCTGAAAATCCAAAACAGAGCAGGCCGTCGCCGCGGTGTTAAGAACTGGGACTAGCCGATCGGAGAGCTCGGCGTCGACGACGGTCTCAACGAACTTCCGAAGGGATTTGGTGCTGAACTCATGACTAGAAACTTGGCGCTGAAATTTCCAGCTCTCACCGTCGGCGTTAAAGATGCCGTCGCCAAGAAAATCGCTCAAAGCAGAGCGAAACGGATCTCCCTTTTGGTAAATATGAAATTGGGTCTTCAAAATGTGCTGTACGACGGCGGGATTCGCCGTAAAAACCTGAGCCTGGCCGAAGAGGCGGTGGAGGGTGAAGGTGGCGTTGGGGGAGACTTGGAGGATGTCGGAGAGCCACTCCAGACGGCGGTGCCGGTTGACGAAGACAGCGAAGAAGGAACCCACTAAGGGGTATGATCTGGGGAGTTTAATGGAAGGGGTAGAAGAGGAAGTTGGGGTTTTGGTGAAGATGAAGAAGAAGAAGGAGAAAAGTAATGGAAGAAGGAAGAGGAAGAGGAAGGAGAGTAACAATGGAGCTTCCATTATGTGGTCTCAATGTGCTTCCCAATATGCACTTCGGAGCCCAAGCGTGGCTTTGCCTTTTATATTGTGCTCTTTTTAAAAAACCATTTTTTGTCTTTTGATTTTTAAAGAATGGTCCAAAATTATTAAAATTTTATTCAACTTTGGCAACCGACACAAGTCCAAACCAACACCGATTAAACTCAACGGACCCATGCGATCTTGACGCGTGTCATTGAGTCACTTTACTGACGTCATCTCTTGCAAGTAAAAATCCACCAACCCTCACAAAAATGAAAAGCTCAAAAAGATGGAAGACTCAGCTTTCAACCATGCCCTTTGTTTTTCCTCTACTCTGATCCTTGTCTGGCATGTCCACGCTCAAGCTCGTGCATTGCAGCCCAGCCAAAAGGGATGAACCATGACCTTTTTTTAATGATGATGGTTCGCACTGATTGCTGAGTCCCATTTTAAGATATCTACAGAAACTATACCAAGAAATGGTTTAGCAAAAACAGTACAGGATCATGCTATCTGCTGGCTGCATTTAAACATTCACAATAGCATCAGATATAAGCCTTTTTGTTTGTTTGTTTGTTAGTAATGCTTACCATATACTGGTGCAGGAAGAATTTAGGAGGCAGACTGAGGATCTAGTCTAATCCCAAGTTTACACAATTCATGGAGCTGATGAACTATATTGTGAGCAAACTGCAATCCCTCCTCGCCATAGCGAAGTGAACTAAGAGAGTGATCCAGAAAATCATAATCAGCTTGTACTGCTTCCAACCTGCCAGTAAGCTCTGAAATTTTATTCGCAAGAGAAAGGAAGTCAATCTCCTCCCCCCCTCTTTTGTCTCCACAACTTACTTCAACTTTCACATTGCCAAAGTTTTGTTCACTCCCAAACTCTTCTTCTGCTGTCACTCTTCCATTACAGGTAATTTTGTGCATGGATGCACCATTTTCTTCGCTCCCTTCCCCTGTTTGTTCCGGTCTCGCCTCTTCTTCAGTATCTATGCAATTAGGAAGCCTTGGTAAAAGTCTATTAGCAAATATTTTGTTGATCTTATCCTCCAACCTCTTCAAACATAGCTGGATGTACACCTTTTCATCTTCAAATTCTAAAGATGAAGTTTGGTTATTCAACGATCTGTTGCTTCCCTTTGACGCCTCCGCTATGGTTGATTTGAAGGAATAATTGGCAGTATATTCATGGTGTTCTGCAGTGGTATCTTCTTCATTTGCTCCATCACTTTGTTCATGTTCAGACTCAACTATTGTGTCCATCAAGTAATTAGATCTGTAGTATTCGAGCTCTGTTTCTAATTCCTGGATTTCTCTCTCCTTCTGATTCAGGAGTTCGTTTGCTTTTTCTAGAGCTTCTACGTCGTACTCTGCTTGCTCTTCCATCATTCTCAAGTAATGAAGAGAATCCATCTTCATTGCAGCCTTCTCCTCTTGCAACCTCGAATCATGGCCATCGCTTGACTTGCAGCAACCTCCGAAGCATTTCGCTCTTCTTCCAACTCTTTATACAAAGAATTCATGCATTTCTTGTCATATTCAACTTGTCGCTTTAACTTATCCACCATATTTTCACCTTCAATTTCACTTACATTGCTTCCATCTAGTGATTCAACAGATTCCATCGATGCCGACCGATCCAATGCCCGAATTATGTTGAATTCACCGGAAGATTCTTTCTGTAAATCATCGTCAGAAATGCTAAAATTGTGGCCTTCATCATCTGAGGATGATTGGTTAACAAGTCCAACAGGACTGTTCTGCATTGAAAATTGCTCCATATCAGTACTAACTATATCAGGATCCGTCTCCAATGGTTGTCCTGTAGCACAATTCAAGACGTCTTGTTGCTTATCACTCTCAAAGGACTCATCAACATTACTGTGGTTCATATCATCCTTAGTGTTCTTAATAACAGATTCATAGGTCACCTCAGTAACTATATCAATTTCCTTCTCTAAAGACCGTCTTGTAGCAAAATTGAAGATTTCATATTCATTACCATTCTCGGAGGACTCACTACTGTTGTCATGGTCCATATCATCAATAGTGTTCTTAATAGCATACTCATAAACCCCCTCATTAGTTTTAGGACATTCTTCAACGGTTGTGCTGATTAATGGACACTGCTTCAAATCATTAGTAACTATATCAGTTTCCTTCTCTGAAGATTGTTCTATAGAAAAATTGACGTTTTCTTGTTCCTTATCACTCTCAGAGGACTCACTAAGACCGATATGGTTCATATCATCTATAGTGTTCCTATTATCTGATACATAAACCAGCTCATCAATTTGTGGACACTCTTCAACTATTGTGCTAATCAAAGGAGACTGCTTCAAATCATTGACTACTAGATCAATTTCATTCTTTAAAGATTGACCTACCGAACAATCGAAGACATCCTGTTCACTAGCACTGCTATGATCCATGCCATCACTAACGTTCTTAATAGCTGATTTGTAAACCTCCTCATCAGTTTTAGAACATTCTGCAGCGGTAGTGCTAATCAATGGAGGTTGCTTCAAATCATTAGTACCTATATCAGTTTCCTTCTCGAAAGATTGTTTTGCATTAAAATTGACTTCATGTTCCTCGTTACTTTCAGAGGACTCACTATCACTGTTATGATCTGTATTTTTCTTATCACTATCAGAGGACTCACTATCACTCTTATGATTTGCATGTTTCTCATCACTCTTAGAGGACTCACTGTCACTATCACGAAACATTTCTACTTTTGTGCTCGTCAATTCTGAATGATTGAGAGATGCAATTTCCATACTATTTGTTCTTGTTTCCTCAGCTGTCATATATAAACAAGGTTAAAGAAATCAGACAAGAATAGGAGAAATTCTATAGGCAGGAGAAGCACACTACAAAAGGGAAAGCAAAGCCAGAAGAGTCTACCACATGGGGAGAGGCATGAATAGAGAAATAAGACTTACATGTTGCCAACTTTCCCGCAATTTGTGGGTCGTGATGTAATGTGATGAACTCAGGCGAGCAAGAGAGAGGGGACTCCTGATTGAGAGAATCTGTAAGCTCACTTTTCTCCATTGAATTCGCGCGATAAAGTCCCAAGACATTGGATGCAGGGGATGATGCATCATCCAGTGAAATAAGTTCGGCCCATGTAGAAGGGCTGGCAATCGGATTGTCTGGCCGGGGCAGCCAATTCAACTCACTCAGTCCATGAAAATTAGCATTAGCATCACAAGCAGGCAATGTCACGTCATGGGGCTTTTGCACATCAACCTGCACATGTGATTCTAAAGATGAAGGCCTCGAATCAACAAAGTTAATGGATGGCTTAACCTGATCATAATCATTGCAATGAGGCTTGAGTGGAATTTGTGTTATAGATTGAAGAAGAGAATCTTCTGTAAGCTCACTTTTTTCATATATTAAACTTTTATCATCATCTTCTTCAGGAAGCACATCCTCTAACTCAGAATCGGAGGTTATTCTCAGCTCACTGTATCCTACATGAGACAACAGATTGAATCCAGTTTTTCCAGGATATTGTAAGGTTACTGAACCAAAAATTTTATCCCTCGTCTGTTTGAAGCTATCTCGACTATTCAAGCAGCGTGGATAAGGAATCTTGGTTTTAGTGGCCATATTCACAGAAGATTTCAGTTGCAACATTCCTTGGGCATTAGGCCTTGTCTTCCAAGGCTTATTGCAACAAGAACAAGGCCTTGTCTTAATACAATGAGGAATCGAGTCCCTTTTTAGTAACTTTCCACGAGCTCCATTTCCACCAGTATGTAGCCTCAACTTTTGCATTTTGGAGTTGAATCTGGGTTTATTGTTTGTTGAGGCAAATGAACAAAGACATGCATCACACATCTCATTGCCATCAACAAGCTTATTATGTTTGTAGCACGAAACTAAAGATGATATCTCCAATCTATGGTTGGTACAGAGGAGATTCCTATAATTATGAGGGTTTTCTTTGCTCAAAAGATGATCAAGCCTGGAGCACAAAATGCAAGGCGTTTGCAAGTTGCAACTATGTGCAAGTTTAGTCAAAACATATGACAACAAAGCATCAATAAGCATTAGAAAAATGAGAAACCATTCACAAGCTGCAGACTTTAGAATGGCTGCAAAACCCTGTACACCCCTTTGAGCTTTATAAAATACTTTTCCTTTTGCTGCCATTGCTCTAGAATTTCATGAGGCTACCATCTCTCTGCCAACCAGAAAACCTTTAGGCGATGAACATTATTCGATCCTCCCATGTTTCGATTGTATTTTTAAACATCCTGTCCTGAATTGGATCACCTAATGTGAATACCAACATAAAAAGGAAAATAAGATATACAATTAGACCCCGGAAAAAAAATCATCCAAAGTTGGCCATTAGAGCGGAATTATCTTGAAAGAAACCGAAAAAATCGAGAACGAAAACAATGGTGCAAGGAATGTTTAGCAAGGGAGACAAAACCCAGCTGCGGAGGAATTGTTTACAAGAAGAAGAAAAAGAAAATGCAAGGAAAAGTAGCAAGAAAATAGAGTTTTGAGGGAAAAATATGTCAAACTGACTCCTGATTCATGTGGGTAATGGAGAAAACTGCAGTATATTCTTTACTCTCTGAAGGCAATGATAAAAAAGAAGATTGAGTGCTCATAGATGATTGTCTTTTCTTTTCTTTTCTTTCCTTTGTTCCAGAGGTAACGCTCTAAAAGTGGTTTGGAGATGAATATGGCAATACAGACGTTCAAACAATACCAGAATGCAGATCAGCTGAAAGCAAAAGGAGAAGAACTAAAAAAACAAACCCAGTCTCAAAATATTTGATATTAAACCTACGATTGTATTAAGAAGAAAGAACAACTGAGGCATACACGTGAGATAGAAAAATGAGATTGAAAACGACAATGCATAAGATTTCCTGATCCCACAAAAACCCAACTACCAATTTGTCTGGACATCGAGGAAAACCAATGAAGCTGGGCAGTTTAATCAGAAGAAAAATTTTATTAAAAAAAAAAAAAAAAAAACGCAGACGAATGTTCATAAGCAATCTAAGACAACAGTAATCCAGCAAACAGAAATTGCCCATAACAACAATTTACGTATCATGAAACCAAATGTTATGAATATAATGTGCTTACGTCGTTTGAAGGGGGAGGATACTGAGCAACCGAAAGGGAAAGGAGAGGCAACCACAAGGACAGAAGAGAAGAAGATAAAGGAGAATGTAAATAAATGTAAGCAACATATGAGTGAGCGAGAAGAAGGCATCGCCTAAAAATGGAAACTGATATGATATAATTAAAAAATCAAGTGCTTTTGATCTAATTTTTCCAAATAAAAAAGTGACGATGAAGGAAAAATGCAAAAATGGTACATCATTGTAGCAGTCTGCCAACTGCCAACTCTATGCCGATAATAATGCATACACATAGGGGTGGGTGTGGGTGTGGGTGTGGGGGTGGGGGTAGCAGCATCATAACCCTCACACCCCCAATTGCATGAAGTAAGACTTGATATAAAAAATTAACAAGTATTAAGTAAATTATTAAACTTTTAATTTTTTTTTTTAATAGAGACCTATCTAACAATTTTTTTTTTAAATACAATAATATACTATTCACAAAATTAAAATTTTTTATTATGCATTAAATTATTTTTTTAATTATACCTCGAACTAAAATTTTAATGATTTATTACATAATTTTTAAAAGTTTATAGGTCAAATAGAATTTTGCAATTTGACCCAAAAAAAACTTAATTTTCTTTTATTTAATAGTGCTTTTTTTTTTTTTTTTGGATAATTAAATGTTATTGGGCCGGATGGGCTGACAAGGGCGCTGAGAGCCCAAAAGTGCGATTGCTCGTTGTCTCGTAGGTCCTTCACTGTTGCCATCGTCTCCCATAATTTGTAGTGAAGAATTGGAGCTTAGAATCGAGACTGTGTAGGAAGTTCTTCTTTATTGGCGTTTTCTACTAGTAAGAAATTCATGAAGCGGTTGTCTTGGTTCTTCTCCTGTAAACGTGTGAGTTTATCTCTCAGCTTCCTGTAATGCTTCGCGGTTCTCTTGACATGTCCTTCATTTACCTCCTTAATCAAAATGGAGGCTGAATTCAGTGATTGCCTTTCGTATGTTCATGTAGAGGGTTGGAGGTGTGAGAGGATATTCCGCCAGCAAAAAGGAGCTGAAAATTGATGGAATTAAGCATACTATAGCCATTGCTTCTGGCAAAGGAGGTGTGGGCAAGTCCACCACTGCCGGTACTTTCTTTTGCTTCTGTTGCCTGTTTCTTAATTTTAGGTTTTTGGTACGGTGACCATTTTTCTAATTGTAATCTTAGGTAATCAAGTGGGCTAATCAAGCTGATTCCCTTGCATAATCTTCATTTTTCTCCATTCTTGCTACCTCTAATGTTTAATTGCGTCCTTTTGAGTTTAGGACCAAAATGAAACGCAATTTAGACGCCAGGAGTATTCCAGAATGCATCATTTTTAAAGTTGATCGAAGGTGGTTTTAAAAAAGGGATTTTTTTTTTCTTTCTTTTTTTTCTGACGTTTCTGATTATCTTCTTTATTGCTTTATGTGAATAATATTTCGCATTCGTCACTTAGATTTCTAGTCTGTTATTGAGGCACTAATAAATCCTTCGTACTTGTTACTACGTGGTGGTTGTTCTTATACAATTGGGTGGGTGGCAGTAAATTTGGCCGTTGCACTAGCAAACAAGTGTCACCTGAATGTCGGATTACTTGATGCTGATGTATATGGACCCAATGTTCCAATTATGATGAAAATCCATCAAAAGCCAGAGTTGACTGAAGGTACTTTGTAACCTTTTGTAATTACTAATATAGCATAGCTCAACTAGCACAAAACAGTGTCCTTGACCAAGGGGTCTCGTTGCAGGGATATGCTCGTATTTTCTGTCTTAAGCCTGCCTGTTGCTTGAACTACCCTTATTTAAATCTAAACTAGCTTTTAGCCTTCACCGGTGTAATAGATTTCTGAACCGGCCATCATTACTCTCACTGATAATTACATTTGTTTATTGTGGTCGACTTGATTTGGTTCAAGTATTTTTCCATTTTAGATATCTGAATTTAAGCGCTACTGCAATAATCCTATCAATCTCCAAGAAATTCTTGTTGGTCCAATATTATAAGTGCCTTCTCGAGTGTACTTATTTTTATTTACCTGCATGATAAGTTAGTCAGTTCCCAAGAAACGGTGGATTATCTTACTTTCTTTAATTTTCCGTGCCTGAAAAATCTGTTTACCTTCAGAAGAATTGTAGCCAGCCAGGCTAATCACATTTGCTTTCTAGGCTTTGATATGATTCCTAGTGAGCATCCCGATGTCCATGTTCTAATTTTTTTCAAAGATTCAATTGCCCCATAATGTATCACTTTATCGTTCTTTCTTTCACAGATAGAAAAATGGTTCCTGTTGAGAGCTATGGAGTTAAATGCATGTCAATGGGATTACTCGTGGAAAACAATGCTGCTCTTGTGTGGAGGGGTCCTATGGTTTGTTTTCCCTAAACTTTCTGTTGAGTATTCCTCCAATATTTTGAGATAGCATGCTTTAATGCTTCTTATCTTCCTGAATGATAAGTTTCTCCACTTCTCTACCACCAAGGTGGCAATAGATCTCCTATGACCAAGATATATAATTCATCTTTTTTTGTAAATATTAAGTTGATCTCCTTACCACCTTGAAAGGAGATTGAGTAAATGAAATTATAAGGAAAAGGGCTCACCTGGTGGATTGGAACATAATTACTTTGCCCACAGATCAACGGGGCAGTACCATGGGCAACTGCTGTAAAGGAATGTGGCTATTCTAGAGGAAATGCTTTGGTAGATCCCCTTGTGAACTTGAAGTATTTTGTAGTTGGTTGCTAGCAAATTAAGTAGAGATAGGAGTAGAGCCCTGGTTTGACGTGGCTAGTATTTGAAATAGTGTTATCGGCTTCACCTCACTTTAGATTGGTTCTCGTTCAAGGGAAATAATTTTTTTGGAAGGTGGGATTAATCATGATTAAGTTTGTTGGGCCTTTCCCGCTTGCTAATGCCCACATATTAAAAACTATCTTTTTCTTGCTTTCCTTTGGGAAGATTCATACTAATGATAATATTAAAAGGATGCATCCAAATATCTCTCTTTGGAAAATTGAAAAAATGTTTTTTTTATACAAGATTTAAGAGGATATCGACCATATTATTGTGCACCAAAACTCAGGGTAATCATTCGAGTAGGGTGACATTACCTCTTGCTCTAACGCTTGTGGTACTTGGTTCATTGTAGGCCACATAGCCAGGTTGCCTTTGGTGCACCTTGCTGCTATTTCAAGGATTGATTGTATGGGTTCGCTATCTGCAGTCTTGTACCTTTTATCCACCATATGCTCCATCTGGTTTTCTTCCTAGAATGCTCATCCAACCAACGACATTTAAACCCCTACTTGAGAAAAATGAAACTGTAGGCCTCTTCCCTGTTATTATCTCCAACAAGAGAACTCCAAAGCTATAAACGTTTGAATGTTTGACTTCTTTGGTGGAGCTTTATAATTTTACCTTCTTTTTTATTGTTTGAAGAGCCTCAAACCTCAATGTAATTCGGTTCCTCACTGATCCGACCATGTATAATTTTTTATAACTAAAGACTTGATTAATATTTTTTGCAAGAAACACTCTAGATATCATGTTGTCAATCAGCCTTTGACTCAACTTCAATGCTTGCTTCTTCTTTTTTTTCCCTCCTTATCTAACTTAAATCTGACTTGTACAACTAAACATGTACTTCAAAAGAATATGCTTGAAGAATAATTTGTTTTCATCATTGAACTCTTTCCACATTTCCTTAGAACTTGGCTAATTTCACAGGTGTCAAGTGCTCTGGAGAAAATGACAAGGGGAGTTGCTTGGGGAGATCTTGATATTCTTGTTGTTGATATGCCTCCTGGTACAGGCGATGTTCAGATTACAATGTCACAGAGATTGTTACTCTCTGGTAGGTAAAAATTTGTGATTTCACCCTTTGTTCTTTGGCAGGTTTGTTAATGGAATTGTTGTGTTTTTAATCCAAATGCTATCGGTACTGAGTTATTTCGAAGTATGATGGTAGAAATGTAGCAGTTTCTCATATATAATTCTGTTCACAAATTTTATTTATTTGTAATAACACCTATAATTCATTTTCCTTGCTGTTAGGTGCATTGATTGTTTCAACGCCTCAGGATGTTGCATTAATGGATGCTCGTAGGGGAATTAAAATGTTTTCTAATGTCCATGTTCCGGTGTGAATTTCTCTATATTATTTTGCTAAATTTCCAAACCATCCTGATTGCAGTCTCGTTCAGTATCAACATCCTAAAAAGTATAAAAATGTTACAATAATGTGGTTAAGATGTTTCTTGATAGTCTTTAGTCTTTACCTTATTATTCCATGCATTCATTGGGTGATAACGAATCTGAATATCAATTCTCTTCATTTTCACACTCGGACATTGCCAAGTTTTCTGAAAGAATCTGAATGTTATTGACTGCTGCTTCAGATTCTGGGAATTGTAGAGAACATGAGCTACTTTACATGTCCACATTGTGATGAACGCTCCTATATCTTTGGGAGGGGAGGAAGTCGCAAGGCAGCTGATGAGATGGGTATCCCATTCGTGGGTGAGGTACTTGCTAATACGAGCCATTTAATTATTATGCATGACCAATTATGTTGATTTCCAGATGATAATGTCATATGAATACGCCGATCAATGAAGAATTTCTATTGCTGGGTCATTTTCGGTACTAGCCAACTTGTGGATAACTTGTCACAGGTACCATTAGAAGAGAAGAACAGGAAAGGTTGTGACGAAGGTGTCCCTATTGTAATGTCAGAACCAAACTCCCTGGTTTCTACAAAATATGTGGAAATTGCTGAGAAAGTGATGGAGCGAATTGAGGAAGTGGAGAGGCAAAAACTACTCCATCCAAAGATTCAATTATAACCACAGCAGCCCCGAGATCTCTTTTTTCTTTATAATATATAACAGGACAGTAGATTATGTTTCATTCCTATCATTCCAGCTTCATTCCTTGCGAGATAGAAAAATATATATATATATATTACTTACCGTTGAACTATGCTCATTTTGGCTCCTTTTGCATCGCTCTTAATGAATGAGATATTTATTTTTTTTAACTCTCGTTACTCCCTCCAAAGATTTTATGATGACTAAGTGCAATTGCTTATTATAGAAGTTAGGGGCACATTTTATCAATAAAAAAAAAATGTCATTTTCCTTAAAAAAAGAAAAAGAAAAAGAAAAATTATGGTACTCTTTAAAGCATTACTTAAGGAGAAAGAATCGTTTCTCTCTTTTAAAGAGAATCTATTTTGAGTAAGCTAAAATATTCTTTATACCTAAAAATTAATTTAATATATATACACACTAACACAAATGTATATAAATAAATAAATAAATAATAAAAACCTAGTTTTGAGAATTGGATTCCAGACTTCTTTTTTTCCTCATATACGGGTTGTGTTTCAATATAAATAATATTCGCTTTATAAATGGTATGGAATGATTCTCATATTTTAAAAAAGGAATATTTGTGTACATTAGATTTGACTTTTGATACAAATAAGAATAGAATAATTAGATTATTATTATTATTTAAAACATTTATTCGCTAAAAAAATCAAATTTGAAACCAAAAAAAATGATAAACTATAAAAACATGCATGATTATTTAAACTAATGCATTTTTTTCTTTATACTTTATGTATAAAAATAAATAAATGGCTGATCAAATGAATCTTATATTTCATCTTTCCAAGCCATTACAAATAATTAAGAGAAGTTTTAGAGAACAACAATCCACCATCTTACTAATAACAACAACAATAATACATTAATTATATTATTTAACCGAATAGTTTCATGAGTGCATGCATATTTTGTAGTAAAAAAAAATCAAAAGGTAAATGTTCTATATATGCTTAATGCTTCTTTAACAAAAAGTGAAGAGAAATGTCAAAATATGTTTGGCATTCAGAATATATCCTATTGTTTAATACATTAATTTAAATCTCTTTTAATGTGTCATTATCATAGTTGACTATATTAGCATCTAATCATACTATAATTATGGGAGTTGGTAGTTCTTTAAAAAGTATTTATCATCATCTTTGCAGGCATAAGCATAAGATTTGGGTGGCGCCAATGAAAGGAATACCAAAATTTTTAATTTCTTTATGTTCTTCAAGTCCCACAGTGTCGCCTTCCTTCTTCCCCTGCCTTTCCATCCACAACAATATCCAACGTCCACACAACTAACTTCTAAACATTTAATAACCCAAAATGATCTTTGCAGGATAAATATTAGTCAGTAGATAGACATAAAGATGCAATATTGTGAGAGATTCCTCGAGAAATGAGCATGAAAAGTAGCCATTTTTTGGTGTGAAAACTGAAAAAAAAAAAAAAAAAAAAAAAAAAAAAAAAAAA